AACTTTGAAGGCTGATTTCTCATATATAGTTCTTTAAACAGCTGTGTGTTTAAAAGCTTGTAACTTCATAAGGAAATGTCCGATTTGAATGATTTTTTTACCATTTTATAGCTATTATTTTATATTATTAATAACTCAAAATTGATTTTTGCAATGAGTGACTGGTTTGGCTTGTCTTTGCCACATATTATCAACACAAATAATTTGATTTTTTTTTGTCATGTTAGAAGACCTTATAAAAATTCATTACTGTGGATTTAATGATTACCAGTACCTTAAACACACTAGAAAATATTTTATGCCCCTTCCACAAGTACACAATTTTGCTATGAGAAAAAAGTCTTACTGTAGCATAGCAATGCACACTTAAAAGCACAAGACCAGACCTACAGTACAGTATGACACGATAGTGGTCAGGTTCACACTAGAGCCCTACTGTAGCATTTGGATTGGGAGCTAACCATTAGCACCCGTGTGAGAACACCCGATCGGTTTATAGAGCTAACCGTTACCAGGATCCACTTTGAGTGCGCTTCTTTTATTAACAAAAACACACGCACACACACTTCCAATTTCCTGTTGGCCAGTGATCCAATCCTCATTTTCTTGATATTTGGATCGGGGATTTTCTTGTATGAACGCATGGGTGAGCGTATATGTTTGTAATCTGGATCCTGCTACAGTAACCATTAGCTGCTGTGTATGAACATAGCCAGTGACAATTTAAAGTCACTGTAGTTACAACCATTAAGACTTGTCACGGCAGACTACGAAATGGCAAGATTGTAGTACAGTGACACTACTTTACAATAAAGCCTGCCGCCCATTACAACCTCATACGATAACAACATATACAGCTCGCATACCAACCTTACGGGGGTGTGCAGCAGCCACTCCAAGACATAAGACACTTGCGCTACCTATTCTACTGAAAATTATTAGGCACTTGAACTACCATTTACCAAAATCCAGTATCGGTTAAACTACTATTACGGCCAGGTAACCTAACAAATTAAATTTGTTCTGGTTCCCTGATGGCGAATAAGACTGCAGTTATGTCCGTTTGCGATCTCTACTGTAGGTTTGGCACAGATTTTTTAGCAAATAACTTCGCTAAAATCATGTGAAAAATTATACTGCTTTGATGATACGTGACGGGGTAAATACCTGGTATTTCCAACACTTGTGCTTCCAAGTCCTCGCAAATATACCATACATGCTGAAACTCTTTCATAAATTTCCACACTTGTGCTACCAAGTCCTCAAAAATACCCCCGTAAATGAATACAGATCATTTCGGTCGCGCCGTATTGTTATGCATTTGGGTCGCGATAAACAGCCTCAGTATGGAACGCCGATGTACACACTAGTGCTTTATGTTTGGAAAGCATAATTAATTTTTAAAGATTTTTTGGTGCATGTGTTTCAGACGGGGTATTAATTTTGTCAATTTTCACGATGCTTGATTATCATAGGCCTAATATTTTTTATATTTTTTTAGTATGATTGTTGTTAATTACAATAATTTGAATATAATTTTAGTGTGTTTTTTCCTTCTTACAGATTCAGAAGTGAAAAATCAAGTACATATTTGTATTTATCAATTTCTGAATTATTCATAATAAAGGCCTAGGAATGTTGTTACGATTATCATTTAATTTGTTTAATCAAATATACTTTTATATTAGAATATAAAAATATATGTACTTGTACATTCTATTTAAACTATAGTATTTTACAATTCATGTATTTTTTTTTTTTTATAAATATGATCATCAGATTGACGACTCGAAGTTAATGGTGACATGAAATAGGTGAATGCACTTAAACACCTTCACTGCCACGACCTGCTAAAAATAGCTAGTCATCTATATTTAGCATCTGACCTACAGTACTTCTGTCTTTGCAGTGTAATGCATTCACTCCTGAAGGTGGCGTACAAAAAATTACATATTAACACTGCATTTTACTATGTATTTTATAAACATCAGAATATGTATAAAAAATTGAAATAAAACAAACACAAAAATACAAACCTTGTGCTGCTTCACCTCAAGAGTACTACTGTATGGGAATCTAGTTGTGGGAAATTAAATTCTAGCGCAACTACAGAATAGGACTAGAAAGAGTCATTTTGTCGGGCTTGAATATAAAAGAAGCCTGAAATAGGCCAGTAAAATGTACAGTGTGTAATTATAAATATATTGAAAATTTTATGTGGAAAATAAATATGAAAATACTATATATTTCCTTTATTTCCATTCATCATATATCATTCAGTACTGTATGTTCATTTATCAAATTATAAACATGATCAGAACATTCAAGATAAATGGAAACGTAACAGACAAGAAAACAAATGTATGAAAAACTAATCTATTGACTACATTTCATAAATCTCCATTCAATTTATGCATTTAATAAAATATATATCGCAACAAACGTTAAAAAGAAACTCAAACCAAGTCGACTTTGTAACATTTTTGTTGTTTCTGTAAAAGAAAAATAACACCAAGTGATACACATAATAATCATAAACTATAATATTATAGTACAGTAATACAAATAATTGTTAGTCAACTAATGTTTTATGTAAATTTTGTGTTTATAAAAATACTAGGCATTTCCAAAATTGCGTTCGCACCGTCGGCGCGCCATACACCGCAACCGAAATGCATATCGAAAATAGCGCGACCGAAATGATCGGATACCGGGTAAATGGGTTGCCGATCATTTCGGTCGCGCTTCGTTTCGGTCGCGCTTTGTTTCGGTCGCGCTTCGTATCGGTCGCGGTTTATTTCGAACAAATATATGGAGCGCCGAAGGAGTTGCGAAAACGAAAAATTTAATATGCCTATGCCCTATATATTTTAGTTCGTGAATCGGTTTATCATAGGCCTAATTATTATTGTTTTGCTATCTTTCCAATAACAAGATATCTTTCTTATTCTTTCTTCCATTTACGGTGATATATTCATGATTGCAACATGATCTTGTAATTGAAACAATGGAATTTAGTATGTGCTTCATGCTATTCTTTTTGTTGCGTTTTCATATACTATACTTTAATAATTAT